CACACATACGACACAACCCATATCGACTCGATCATTGTTCTGTGATGTGGACCCCACTTCTCTTAATTAAAGTCGTTCCTCTACAGGCTAAGTTTAATTTATCTCAACCTTTACGAGAACAAATCGATTCTAGTTCTTCTCCGACAGGTCACCCCGCAGTTACTAAGGCTCAACGTTTCGCGTGTTTGGTTGTCAGACGATCGTGCGTAAAAGCTAGCTCTTTGTACCTCTCCGCCAAAAGAGAAGGGGTCGGGAGGGGCTCACGATTCGAGGCCAATCTAATCGATATTATGGATCTTGCGAAGCCGAGCAATGTCAGAATACATTCAAAACCATCGTGCAATTCCATACGCCGTGTGATCGCCGAAAGACCAGACAGTACGCGGAGACATCGAGCGGAAACAGTGCTCTTGTAATCAGCGTCGTAGACATCAGTACAAGCGTCTCATGTAGATTACACATTTTATGAGGTTTAAAGACTTTGACAGCGTTAAACGTTGTCTTGTCTTGAACATGAACCTGAGACGTGATGTTACTCTGGATATAACGTCGCCATTATGCCATGAGCCGTGAATTTTGCAGAAGTCAAAAAGGTATGTGGCGTACTCCATTCGTGTTGGGCATGGGATGACACGGAATTTGTAACAAGCTTATCGCTAAAACATAGCTTCAAGATTGGAAGGCATAAACGACATAGAACATGTTTTCTGGCTGATATAGAGAATAGCGCTCTTGTGCTTTTGGTCATTCGATTGTAATGGATGCATGCATGGAGTGAGACGTTTGATATTAATGTCTCAAGTGCCGGAGCATTTGGAGTTTAAGAGCAACTATATCTCGCAGTTTTCTGCGGAGACAATGGACTGCAGTAAGATCACTCATTCGTGTTGCGATGCTACGGTACCTATCTTATGACTGGCCCATCGTGCAGAACAGTGAATACACCACGCATAAGTGACGAAAAGTCTATTTACTCGTGATGAGAGTGACAAGGCAAATCCCAGAAGAGGTAATCCCCTCTTCACTAACCCTACCAGAAACTATCATTAATAACTGATAGCGTAGCCGAGGGGATGTATGCAGGAAATTCAAGGCGCTAATCACTCAAATGATACAGAGAGGCAGCGGAGGTGAGACGAGATCTCCATCTATCATAGATGTTTTATATCTTGAAGACACCCGGCCACATGCGAGGAAAGGCAGCGATATTCACGGCGCCTACATAGAATTTTAATTTGCTAAAAAAAGCACGACGTAGAGACAAGGCATTTACTCTGCGGATCACCCGCAGTCAGGGAGTGTATCATGAAATTGACTTGGAACCAAGTGTTGCATAGATTTCCCACTCACAACCGGCTTTGAGGGCAGAATAATTAACGACAAACGGCAAATTATGCGCGCTTATAATAAATTCAGCTTCCATTTCGGGGCACTAAATATTTGAAAGCATCTACTGTGGAAAAGCATGGTAGGGTTGTACTTTGTTTTGTACTTAAATCATGGCTTCATCAAATCACAATTCGCCACTTACCGTTAGTCTTTATAACTCAGAACGTCGGTACCGAGAGCAAATATTTACTTGGTTCGGGGAGAGAGATTTACGGAATTTTCTAATATCGGGAAAAAGAGTGACTCTCCGCTCTCGGTACCAGTTTTCTGTGTTTCACGAAATCAACCATCTATGATATCAGCCGAACCCAATGCTTGATAAGTTGACGTGTAACGCAGTTATTGGCTCCAAGAAGTCACTTTCGTGACACAATTCCGGTCCGTGACCAAAGTGCAAGGTAGGTGTCAAGTCACCGGGTCATGGTATTGCTTCAGCAAATAATTAAACGATCTGTAGGCGCCGGAAAGATAGCTGTTCCTTTCCTCGTATTAATATCATGTGTCATCAGTGACACATACATCTATGACGGATGACAGATTTGCCCTCACTTCGGTATCAGCTGTATCTTTTTCTGGGTCTCACTGCCTTTATAATTTTTGTACGCATCTCCTGGTATATTTTCACAATCTGCAAGTGACTGCGGCACACAGTTGCTCTTACACTTCTCCGGCTCAGGCACTGGAGATTACAATAAAATTCGCCTTGTGTTTCCAACGGCTATGGCACAGAGACACCAGCTTACAGTTGTTACCAAACGTCTCAGCAGAACAGGCTGAGGTCAACGACAGACGGTTGTTTATTCCTATCTCACTCTGATGACCGCGGTTTACGATCGTTATTCTCTGTTCCACATAGAGACCGCAGCCCAGTGCAACGTCAATCTCCCAAGATCTACTCATAAAGCATTAAATTTGCTATTAATTATGGACACCTCACCCCCTGCATCGAAGCTAATGTAGCTTCATGCGCTCGACAAATACACTTATTCGCTCTAGCAGAGGTGGGCTCATGACTCGCGGAAGATCCGCCATGAAAACAGCAGGCGCTACCGAAAATTGTTACTCGAGGTAACACATGACTTTAAATAATTGAGCCGCACCATATCTCAAACATACTTAAAATGCATGTTTAGGAAAGAACAGCGTATCACGCTGTTAAAGTCTCCAGACCCCGCAAGGCTGAATAGGATCTTTGACACTTATTTGTCTCCATCGTCTTGCTAAATTGCCCAATATCCGAAAATGATATTGTTTGTGCCTCAGTGATCTGTCTACTGTTCGGCAGTCACGCATCGTACGTAATTGCGCGACGCTCCTGCATATACGAAGTCTTCTTGCAGCTTTACCAAACCGGAATAATAGAAATTACAGCCGACAACACTGGGTTCTGAAGTGAAAACTTGTCGTTCATTTCTTAAATTGGTCTCATTTGTCTCGACCTCCACAACGTAAGATAGCCCCATTAGGACATCGTTGTACGGATCCGCATAACAGCCTCCCTTTTCACACCTTTCCGTCAAGAGACATGGAGCTATGCAAGGCAGAGGTTCGATTATACAACAAATATTACATGTGCGGGTGCCGCTCGGCAATTCAGTGACCTCACTTTTCCTCCTCAGCATGACTAAGAATTACCGCCTCTAGCGCGCTCATTTCTTCCACTCCTCACCTTGCACTCACGGTACAAAGGCCAAACCCTGTATTCAATGCAGTATCCAACGCATACTTAAAAGAGGATGGATTGACTCGGAAGATCTCGGTGCGAGCCGCACCTTTTTCGATACGCTCGCTGAAGATGGAGAATGTTACCGCTGTCACGACGATTGAAGTTGCAGCTCTTGGAGCTCATTACACTTATTCTCGTCTCTCTTGAGAAGTAAACAGGAATTTGAATACACACTTGGCTTGGTGATGCGACTATTACGCTCCAAAACTTCACATATTGAGAATACCTCGTTACAGAGGTACTACAAACACAGACCCGTTTTCGTGCGCAGCCCCCTTCTGAAGTAGAGGATGCAAGCGTGACGAAGCATTGATTCCTCTGGTGTATGGCCATGTTCTCTCATCCAGAGAGAGAAAAACATCTCCCATGCTCTTAAATAGCTAAACGCTGAACATTAGTAGACTTACGGTGGTGACTGGTTGTGTCCGGATCGCTGATTCATTGAAGCATCCCAGGATATGTACCATTTGCGCATTCTCACAGCCTATGAGAGCCTTCAAGCATTCCATCACCGTTTTCGGCTCTTTGGCCGCCAAACGTGCTTCTATTTTGTGATGATTAATGTCAATTTTTTATTTTTTGGCGTGTCGGGTTGTTCCAGGATAGATAGTCGGATAAACAAAATAGGAATAATTCAGTTTCTTTGCGCCTCGATCGCTAAACCAAAAACAAGTGTTACGGACTTGCCGCACATTTTGCACAGAGGAAGCTTTGTCCGCGTTAAATAACGCCTAGAAAATAGGTTTGTATTCACACCCCGAGAAATCGATCGATACACTTCAAAGTAACTCAAATCTTTTACAGAGCGAGACATGTTTGAGGATAAAGTCTACATTAATCTTGTACTGGATATTACTATGCTCAAAGATTAAAAATGCATCGCACAACGAGAGGCTGACAGCTATGGACCTTTTCTTTACGGAATCCCATCGTCCTCTTCTGTGCCCGTACTTCTTGGTGGACGTAATGTTTACATACAATGACGGTACTATACCCTGAGACTTACGGCGGCTTTGAGAGAACGCCGTAATAGGGTTCAATTCCGCCACAAACACCAGATGATTTTCTTTTGCTCTTCTTCAATTCACTTAGACGAGCCTCAACTGTTGTTTGCTCAGCATAGCCCTATGGATACACAAGGACTTGTTTAGGCTGCAGCGTTGGCAACGCGACAATCGATAAGTGGAAACGTTGCCAATGGGTTGCTGCCACCTATCTTTTCTATGAGCCAATATCATAATTTTCACTTTATCTGCTGTGATATTTGTCAAATGACATCGGGAGTTGTAGAGTAATGGATCCCAGAAAAATAAGGTTAGGTTATGAAATATCGCTATGACTTAAACGAACAATGTAGTAGTTAATCTCTTACGAGAATGAAACTGAACAATATTTTCTTTGAAGAAACAAAATCCACCACGGCAAATTTCTGTGACTGAAATTTTAATATTAGCGATTATATTGGCTACGATCGTCTGGCTATTGTGCAACAGGACTCTTTGTTCAAAAGTTACTTCATCTGGCATGCGCCGAATAGCTTTCTACTCTTAATTGGAACCGAACTTTTGACTTGCAGAAGCTTTAAATAAACAAACGTTAACAATTGACAATTTCTGACTTACTTGTTGTGTAAATCGCAATTTTCTCCACGCATACGAATGCATCAATGAGTTTGTGCTTTTTAAAAAAGCGATCACTTCTCCTTACGTAATATGCAATTTGAATATATCTGTCGAACATTAGCTATTGTCGACGTCGACAAGTTAAAAGTGCCACTTCATATACCGAAAGATCGAGAAACAGAGGATCGATATTTTACACTCAAGCTAGCGCTTCAGCTGGCGCAATTGTATCAAATGCACAAAAATCACTTGATGTCGAATCCATGTCGAAAAAAATCACATCTGTTTATGGCTTTAAATTACAAGCTCTGGAGCGTCTTCTATCCAGTACGTGGCAAAGCAAAGCATGTATTGATATTGATACATTGTCAAATGAGACGCTAGCTCAGATTCGAGAACGCGTGACAGCCTTTCTGTATCAAAACCGAGACAATTTTCCGCTTTGGGACAAACCGCCATTATCTCGGGAAGAGACAGCTCGACACTTGCGTACGATAGTAGCGACGCTTTTGAAGACACCTTTGCTGCAAAATCTAACGATCGAACAACTGCTTGAAGTGGCAAAAGCTATGAAATGGCAAGTAGTGGCTCCTGGTAAAACG